CGGAGAAATGCAACCAATGAAAAGTTGGTGCTTGTGTAAGCAAGGGGTAGGCAGAGAGGGTGCCACCTAGTTCTTCCCCAAGCAACTACACTGAGCAACATAGTCGCCTCCGTTCGTTTTCAAAACTAATCCTTTAATTTAGTCTTAACTGTGACCCATTTTTAATTAAATGCCATTAATCACCGAATATGCCTTCTCCCAAATTCTCTATGCCTCTCCCTTCTAGCTTCGGCGACTCATTTTTGCCCTTTTTCCCCCCCTAGAAACCCCACTTCCTCACGCCAAGCATATCCCCTTTAATATTCTACCGATTCCCCCATTATAAAAAACCGCTCACTCCCTTTCTACCTTCTCATCTTCCTCGTCACTCAGATATTTTTGCTCTTCCTTTCGATTCGATTTTCTCTGTCGTTTTGTTTCTGCGATTCAATTTCTCGCAGATTTTTTGTTTTCCTGTTTTTGGTTTTTCTTTTTGAGAGTTGAGATCTGTCGGGAATGAAGTTCGGGAAGCGACTGAAGAAACAGATTATGGAGTCGCTGCCGGAATGGCGCGACAAGTTCCTGTCGTACAAGGAGTTGAAGAAGCTGGTGCGGCTGATATCGGAGGCGCCGCCGTTGCCGGACGGAGAGAGGGAGTACGGGAAGGCGGAGGCTGAGCTGAGTTTGTGTATCTGTTGAACAACGAGATCGACAAGTTCAACAACTTCTTCATGGAGCAGGAGGAGGATTTCGTGATCCGGCACGAGGTATATATGTTGCTAAATCGAATTCTGAATTTGATGCTGATGAATAATTTAATTGGTTAATAGTTGTAATCATGATTCTGAGGAATTTTGCAGGCGTTGGAAGAGAATGAATGAAGGAAGTGAGAGAGAGATGGGGACCAAATGGAAGTGAGGCTTCAGAAGCGAACTACAGAGAGGAGATAGCGAAGATCAGAAAAGATATGGTTGATTTCCATGGCGAGATGGTCCTGTTAGTTAATTACAGTAGCATCAATTACACTGGTATCCACTACTTTTCTTCCTCTTTTTCTTATTAGAAGCATGCTTTTGTTGTGACTAATCTTGTTTTAGTGCTAACAACGGAAAATCATTTTTTCCCAAAAAAGAGAGAAAAGAATATGTTTAATTTAAAGTAGGTGTGGATAAAAGTAGAATATTTGAGCTCGTGGACTTGAATTCAGGTTCATGCAACTTGTCAAGTTTGTGTTCGGATTTTAACAACACTGGCTTATTCTTTTCTCTGTTTTTTTTAAAGGAATATTTATATTTATTTAGTTTGATTGGTCTAGACTCTTTCTTTTTTTTTTTTTTTTAAAAATTAATTTAACTTACATAATACGTTTTCAGGTGTAGAAATTTTCTGAGCTCGGATGTGATTTAATTATTTTTTTATATGATATTCCTTGATTTTGTGTTAAAAATATGGCATAAAGAATTATTTCTTTGCTCCCGAAATTTTGGAAGTATGTTCATAATTTGTAGTTGTTTAATTATTTTTATTAATCCTTTTGGAAAAATCACAAAAAAAACCATCGAATAAAAAAAAAATACAAATTGGAACCCATGATAATATTAGTATAAGTTTTGATAACAATTTTTGTGAATCAGTCAGTCCCTGTGCGTAATTTTTCGAATTCCACAGTCTTTGTTGTGTGGTTTTCTTACCTTTTTTTTATATAAATTTTAAAGAGTCAAGAGGCGCATGTTTTTTTTTAATATAAGAGTTAATTGTAAGTTTATTTTAGTTTTAAATATAAATTCTCAATTTATTTTTGTCTCTTAAATTTAAATTCTTCCTATTGAATGCATATATCAAAGGGTTTTTTTTTAAAAGAAAAAATCTAACGCAAATGATTAAGAAGCATACTTTAAAAAACTAATATTTATTATTAATAATTAAGTTAACTATTTTTTGGCTCTTTCACTTATTTAGCTTAAAATTCATTGGGGATTTGTTAGTAACCATCTTAAAGAGGTGTGGACCCAGGTCCCATACAAATGCAATTTTCTTGCTCGCTTTTTATTGGGCTTTCTTTTTTTAAAAAAAAAGATGGCCTGCACCCAAACAAAGAACGTGAGGGCCTTGATTATCGTGAAGATTTATTAGGCCTTGTGGTTAAGCCCGGAATAAAGTAATGGGCGTGTTTGTTCTGTTTGAAGGATTGGCAAAAATACTGAAGAAATACGACAAGAGGACAGGTGGGTTGTTGAGGCTACCATTCATACAGAAAGTACTGGAGCAAACCTTCTACGCCACGGATCAAATCTCCAAACTGGTCAAGAAATGTGAGGGAATGATGGACGTGGTGTTCCGGCGGCGGGCGGAGGAAGAACTGGCAGAGAGGGCCAGAGAAGCGAGAGATGCCATTACGGTCGCCGGAGAAGGCATCTTCAGGAACACCGTGGCAGCTCTGCTGACCATCCAGGAGATCAGAGCAGGAAGCTCCACTCAGAGTGCCTTCTCTTTGCCTCCTCTGAATATGCCTGATTCTCACCTCATTCAGGCCTTTCAGCTCAATTCCACCATCCCCACTAATTGATAATGATACTACAGATTTCATACTGGTCAGTTGTATACTTGCTAGGAGATCAGTCTAGGAATATACTTATATAAATATATATATATATATATATATAAAATACACGCCAGCAGATTATGCAAGTCCTTGTTCCACAGCTTTGATCAATATGGTTTTTTTTTATAAAAAAATTCATTTATAAGATCATACAAACTCTTGATCTTGAATCTTGTTGAGAGATGTACCCATATTTAATATTGGATAGTATTTTAAACAGAATTGTTTTCAGCCTCTTGAAAATTTAATTCTATCAGTTTTAACTAGATCTATTCAAGGGTAAAGATAAGAGTTTAGTCCGTTTAGTCCCCAATAGAAGTCATTTTAACTAATTCATCAATATTATAGTTAACTCATCGAACCTATTCTGAGAAATTGTCAGTCATTACAGTTTTATCAAATTTTCCATCAGGTTCTTATAATTTTTTTTATTTTTAATTAAGTCCTTATTGTATATTTAGTTTTGATGAGAGGCCTTCCGTGATAACAATGTTAGTTTAAGCCTATGTGGTACGTCTTCTTGGTCAACTTCTCCCTCACTCCTGCGACCGGCCCATCAATATTCTCTCTCTCTCCGTACTCCTTTCTCACCGACGCCTGCCACAATCTCCTTCTTCTCCTCTTGTCACTCTCTCTTCTTCCTTTCCCTCTACACCTTCACCGCCATGACAAACTCTTTCGAGAACAACAATTTCTTCATCGCTCCTTTATGCATTCGTGAACTTGAGTCAAGAGCTTATGAACATTTATTAATGAAAAGAAACTTCCGATGTAACATTTTGAAACCGAATATGTATGCCCAATTTTTGTTTTCGGAGTTAAGGGGGTGTTGGTCAACTAAACTATAGTTTTAAAAATTTTATAGTATATAAATAAATATATTAAAAAAATTTTATATCAATTTATGTGAAAATAATTTTTTTAAGTATTTTGGGGGTTTACCAAACCACCCATAAATATTACTAATGCCAAGGTTAGAGTTGGGGAGTTGGGCATAATGAAAAGTACGTGAGGAGAAATCCAACATCATGGGTAAATTAAGGAAATAAAGGCATGGAAAGGCGGGCAAGAAGATGATAATTTTTTTTTGGGTGAAAAGATATGATTATTTTTGGTGAGGGGGGTAGTGGGGGAGGGGGGAGATAGTGATCAGCAGACTGGGTAGAGGAGTGGGGGAGAAGTCAAGCAAAAAAAAAGGAGCCACGTAAGCCTAAAGTAACAGTGTGATCACGGAAGCACTCTCCTCAAAACTAAAATTACAATGATGACTCAATAAAAAGAAAAAAAATTCATAGGACCTGATTCGAAAATTGGTAATATTATATCAGGACTGGCAAACTAATTTTTCCAAGCTATCCAAATTTATTTATTTTTTTCAACTTTATTCATATTGAGTGAGGTTGTGAAAGAGAGAGAAACAGAATACATTGAAGCATTAATTAAATGGATAAAATTGACAGACTTTTAGCTGCTGGACTCTAGCCATCTATGGTGCAGCACTCCACCACTTCACCTAGCAACACGATACTTGTATGCTCTCTCACAATCCTATTTTCACAGTTTAGGCTGCCAGGATGTTTCAATTCATCATGTTGTCCCTTGCATGTCCATGGATTTAGCAAAAGTTCAAAAGGTTGAACTATTTGGGAATCTCCAGATCTAGGCTTATTTTCAACTCCCCAAAACATTTCATCACTTACTACACCATTTCTCATCTGTGGGTGCCTAGGTATTCATCATAAATCTTTTCTCGCTTGAACCTTGTTCTTAAAGGCTATGCCACTTTAAGGTGCTACTAAATGAAAGGATCTTATCAACGCCAATGATGACTACATCCAGTCTTTAATATAAGACCTTGTTTGATTTTTATTTTGATCCTAAATATAAGACCCCAATGTACTTTGTCTCTTATATCTATGCATTTATTCCAAGGTAGTCCTTTTAATAATGATAGTTCTAGCCAATACATTTGATTAATAAGGATATTTTAGGAAAGACAACACCTATTTATGACAAATAACTAACTTAATTTATTTTCTTAATTTCCTTAAATTAGTCAACTAACTCTTATAATTCGGACCGGAGGTAAATCATAGCAAAGATCAAACTATTGAATTGAAAAAATTGGCTGCTATCATATAGCATTAATCACTCACTAAGTGAGTCATATTTTGAACCAATTCGTTCTTTTAGAAGCGATGTATATTATAGAAGTGGGAAAATTACCGTGAACCTTTGAAGAAGAAAAATAATTACTTAAAATCTTAATGACAAGTAAGTAGTTGAAACCTGTTATTATTTTCTATTTTAGAACTTGTCAATACAAGTTGCTTAGTTGTTATGGGGATTTTTTTTTTGAATATGTTCCTTCCTTGATATTTTATTACAATTCTCCCTATGAAATTTGTTTAAAATTATTTTCTATGAATATATAAATATAATATGTGTGTGTGTGTGTGTGTTTGAATCGTCTTTATAATAGATTATTATTTCCCGTCAAGTAGAAAGAACAAAGATAAAATAAAAGAGAGAAGTATCTTTCCCTTTCCATTTTCAAAAGTACGGAGGGGTTTCACCATAGAAGAAGTGCTCTAGACGATTGGACATGTAGACTTCGAGCTCCAAGGTGACGGAATATTTCTTAAGAAAATGGAAAGGGAAAGATGTGCAAAAAGGTTACTATTTCTAAGCTAAAAAGTGTGTTTGGCATTGGTAGGTGCATAATTCGTTCTTTTTCTTCGTTCTCTCTATATTGACTTCAGAAGAGAGAGAGAGGGAGGGAGCGGACAAAGGCCACATGACATGAATACCCTCATTTATAATACTTAATCATGAATATTAATTATTTAATATTGATATCTATAAGAGAAAGGGAAAGTTGGAAAAGAATCTCCCACTAAAAATTTTATTAGTGAAAATGACTTCGTAAGTTTTAACACATATAGAAAGCATCAGTATTTTACAAATTTTATATACATTAATAAGTACTGGTACTTGATTTAGATCATTTTCATCAATAAAATTTTCAATGGTCCCAATCCAACAGAAATGACATTTTTAAAATATTACTTACTTTTTAAAACGTGGGAAAAAAATGAATTAAGAAAGGATAAAAGTTAAAATATTTTATAACTTAAGACAAAATAATTATTTTTTAATAGAAATTAAAACACATTTCCTTAACCGATGTGAGGAATGCCTAAGCCCTTATATATATGAGGGAGTTAAGCATCAATTTTTTGTCACTTAGATGGTATGCAACAACCCTATCAAGATAAAAAAAAAAAAAAAAACTCGATCTCTCTCTTTTAAATTCATTTATTCATACCAAACATGACATAAGTTGATTTAATTAGATAATGTTTTCTTTCCTACATAAACTTAAAGATTGATTAATTATAACCAACTAATTATTTGAAGCTCATGTCAGTTACGACAATTAATATATAGCTCCCCTAAACTCAATAGGTTGAGATACCAAGTCAATTCATTATAGAAACAATATATATCTAAAATCCTGTGAAGTTATATGTCAATTAATTCAGGTGCAAAATCACAAGCACCTATATATATATATATATATATATAGTCCCTCTTTTTTGATATACTTCTTCCTTTTCTTTTTTATCTGTCGTTCTAGGATTCTACCATAAATTAAAAAATATATATTTAGTATGTTGAAATTTCTTCTAACTCTCCTAATTAGTATGCCCTTACTAAATGTTGTTAGCTAGCTAGGTAATTCTTTGGCTGAGAATTGCGCTCAATCATAGGTAAGAATATAAGTGGAAAAACAGCATTATTGTTGCCTTGAACTTATAAAATGATATATAAATAGAAACAATTTTATAGAAAAGAAAGTGACCAGTACAAAGAAAATGACGGAGTATAATGGAAACTTTTACTACCCAACCCAACACCAAAAGAAGTACCCTATGAATAATGCTAGCTGACACATGGCTCATTTTACAGCAAGATTACATTGAAGCGGTACTATAAATGGCCAGTCAAAGATTAAGCCTGATTCTATTTGGTGATTTTACTTTTAATTACTCCCTAATCTTACCTAGAAGATAAAGAAAATAGTAATTGATATGCTCAAGTCAACTTAAAAAATGCTTATAAACCGCTTTGAACTTGCAGTCAAACTGGGGACTTTCAAAGATATATGGGAATAATAATGCAGTCAAAATTCATGCTTTATTTTTTCCGAATGACTTTTCCAGTGATCAATACTTTTCCAGTTCTTTATATTATACTAAAAGATGGTGATGTTACTTAACCTAGTTTAGTTGGTCATAGTGGTTTATCATGATTTTAATTTGGATATGTTGTACTCATTTCTGTCCTAATTTATTAAAAAACCTAGTTATTATTCGCCCCCTTTTCATTTTTATGGGAGAATCATCAATTAATAATGGATTTTATTTCATACCTAAACTTGAAGCAAAGTATATGCTTTTCCCCCAAAGCCACAAGATATATAACGCTATTTTATTAAGAAACGATAACATATATACTTCAAAAGATTACACGTTCACAGCATGATTTATGGCAGTCCACATGAAATCCTTTGTAAATATTTGATTTAGAGATTAATTAATTGCCTCTTATAATTCATGAAAGCTTTGCTCAACATATGTAGATGCTGTTGCAACTTACATCCTCTGATTCTAAATATATGAGGTAAATAACTAATTACGGAGATTAAAAAATTAGTTAAATTAGTAGTTTGTGAAGAAAAAAAATGTCAGTTTTGCTAGTATCAGTTTTAATAATTTGCATTGAAAATTACGTCTTTGGTGGAAAACCCTCTTAATATATGCAATAACCAATATGTGCAAAGTGTTTAGGAAAAAAATTATAAATTTAAAAGATAAAGTGGATTGATGTCTTATATTTATGACAAAAGACAAACTTTTCTACTAGGTATTCTAATTAGAAGTAGTTCAAACATGCATGCATTATCCAGCGTCAAGCTATAGGAAGCATAATGATTAATTAGCATTATCAACAGGTTTATCCCACTATCATTCTATTGCCATGATATTATTAGTCCTGTAATTAAGCTGAATGAGAACACCTGCACA